TGGGGATGGGATGGGATGGGATGGGATGGGATGGGATGGGGATGGGATGGGGATGGGGATGGGAATGGAGATGGGGATGGGGATGGGAATGGAGATAGGATGGGATGAGGATGGGATGGGATAGGATAGGAATGGAGGTGGGATGGGATGGAGATGCAGATGGGATGGGGATGGAGATGGAACGGGATGGGATAAAAGAATCTCACAGAGATGGACATGGGACATGAAAGCCCTCAGGGCGTGGGATGGAAAGGGAAAGCTAGTTAGAGCTGGAGAAGGGGTGGGAAACCTGCAGGGACAGGGATGGACGGTGCAGACCCAGCTGGGTGCCCTCGGCTCCCCCGGACCCCAGTGCACCCCTCCCTGAGGGCAGCAGGAGGCTGAGGCCCCACGGCGCCCTTTGGGCAGAGCTCTGCTCTCACCCAGCGCAGTGAGCGGCGCGGTGGCCGCCGTGTCCTTTTAAAGTCACCCGCTGGCACTCAGCCCTCCGAGGCGCCGGAGGCATCAATCTCTGCGGGCCGTCGGTGTCAGCTGGGTATTTAGTGAAATGTTTCTTAAATGAACGCTTGATGGAAGAAGAGGGATGGCTGCGCCGTGCCGGGACAAGGTTATCCCTGCCGGCTGCCGGCGATTGACCGCGGGCACGGCGACGGCCATGACCTGCAGGAGCTGATCCCAAATCTCATTCCAGTCACGTCTGGGAGCAAAATGCATCTGGGAGGGGGAAAGGTGGGGCAGAGCCTGCAGGCTGCTGGGGCAGCAGGGGTCTGACCCAAAGCACCTCCGTGGGGTGGGCGGAGCGGGGGTCCCGAATGCCTGCAGCAAAAGGTGTGCTCCTGCCCCCCATTATACAGTCCTGCACTGAAATCTGTGGTCCTGCATGTGTGCTGCGCCAGCCCATGTCACCCTGCGCCCCTGCGCGGTCCCACTGTACGATCCCACACCCCACCACTCCTGCACCCCTCCAGATGTCTCTACACAGGGCTCTCAGCTCTCCCTCCCCCCCACACCCTCGGTCCCTTGCAAATGAACCCCCAGCAAGGCGCAGCTGAGATGCACTGAGTTCACCAGGTCTCAGCGGGGCCGTGGGTGGCTTTGGGCGCCGTGCCTCTGCCCTGCTCCACCTCGAATTTAACCCTATAAAAGCAAAGGGGACTGCATGGATGAGGTGGCAGCTCTGCGCCACGCACTGCTGTGTTGGTGATGGATGAGCGCTGGGTACAACAGGGGGACAGCAGCAGCTGGTGGAGCAACAGGAGAGGTGCCCGTGTCCCCAGATGTCCCCACATGCACATCCTCCCGAGGGCAAATGCAGTTCCCTTGTGCAAAAGCAATTCCTCATGCAAACGCCGGTTGCTTGTGCATGCACCCCCTCCAGGTGCAAAAGCATCCCTTGTGCAAAGGGGGAGGGGGGGGGGGGGCTGGATGTGGCCCAGGCTGCAACGTCAGCACAGCGGTGTGCAGGACGCAGCGCTCAGGGTGCGCTGTGCTCCCACTGCTGTGTGCTCCATGCATAATGCATGATGCACAACGTGGCTGCAGGCCCGGGCGCTGCTTCGCCACCGCGCAGGACAAGGGCAGAATGACAAGTGGGACCTGCAGGGCAGGCAGCCCGGGGACAACGTGGGGACAACGTGGGGACACCAAGACAGCATCCCCCTCCAGCGCCCCCAGACCTCCCCAGCACGCACTGAAACGCGGTGGGAAACTGCTGCCAAAAGGAAACCTGAAGAAAACCCATTTTTCTCCCCAGATCTGCCCCAAATATCACAGCTCCGTCCCCGCAGCCCCGAGGACCCACATCTGCCCACCCTGCGCAGTGCTCCCCGTGCAAGGGGCTCAGCCTGGGTTCGCAGAGCTGGAGGCGATGGGTGGGAGGAGGAGTTGTTACGGGGCCTGGGAAGCGCTGCTTGATAGTTTTTTTTCCTTGGGCAAAGTCATCTCAACCCAACCCACATCCTCTCAGAAGCCGTCTAGACTTTGATGAATTTAATTTTGCTAAAAAGGGGGAGAGGAAAAAAAAAAAAAAAGAGAAAAAAATCGGAATGAAATTTCCTTTGAAAGCACTGGAAGTTCCCATTGCACCAAGGCCAGGAGAGCGGTGGCACAGAGCGGCCGTGGGCTGAGTGCATCCAAAGCTGCAGCACTGCACGAGGGTGCAAGCAGGCAGAACGGCAGTGCTGTGAGCACACGGGGCTGCAGGGCTGTGGAGCGCAACACTGCGTGTGCAAGGCTGAGAGCAAGCAATGCTGTTTGTGCCCAAGGCTGTGTGCAAGGCTGCAAGAGTGCAAGCCTGCGTGTATGCAATGCTGTGTGTGCAAGGTTGCAGGGATGCAATCCTGCACGTGTGAGGGGATGCAAGCATGCAGTGCTGCATGCAATGCTGCGTGCAGTGTTGTGTGCAATGCTGTGTGCAATGCTGCATGTGCCCAAGGCTGCAAAAGTGCAGCGCTGGATGCGTGCAAGTCCACAGGTGTGCAAGGCTGTAAGTGTGCAACTGCAGCTGCACACAGGGCGTCCCAACCCTCTTTGGGCCAGGTGTCCATGCTGAGGCTCTTCCTGTCCTCTGCAGGCAATGAGCGACTGCTGCATTATTTACGTGGAGGCTGCGCTGCGCGGGAAATCAGGTCAGCCCCCCCCCAGCCCCACGTCCCCCCCTTTTCCCCAGCAGCATCCCTTTGACACACACAAAAGCAGCAATCCCATCTCTCCTGGGCTGCCCTGCTTTAAAAATAATGTAAAAAAGGAACAAATCCAGCCTGCTCCCAACGCAGCCCATGGGACGAACGGCCAGGGAGGAGCGCGTGGCTGCGACATGTGGAAATCCATCGCCTGGGGTTGGGACGGGGCTGAGTGAGCGGCAGCCTCAGGTTTGGGGGTGGCACAGTGGCAGCCGCCATCCCCACGCAGGGACAGCACTGAGACCCCCTGGTTGTCCCCCAAGGGCTTCAATCTGCTGCATGGCGCAGCCTCAGGGAGTGAGGAAGAGATGAGCGAGGAGCAGCTCCCCCTCCTCCTGCTTTGAGTTTTTATTAAAACAAACGAGGAACCCATCATTTCTTAGGATACAACAATCCGTGGGAATAGAAAAAGGCTGTACCAGGGTCAGGGGAGAACCCATCCAAATGGCAGGCACGCATGGGGCAGGGAGCTGATACAGACGCGTGCTTAAATAAAAGGGGTCGGGGCGCCGTGGGGTGGAGGCAGCGCGTGGCCGGGCCCCACTGCCAGGCACTGGGCGCCCCGGGCCCCTGCAGGGAGATGCTTTGCATGGGACACAGGGATGGAGGCAGCCCCAGAGCCCAGCGGCGGGCAGGGGCCTGAGGGGGAGACAATGGGGGTCCCCAGGGGGGTTTGGGTGCCATCAGCACCTCGGCCTGCTCAGCCTAAATAGGGAAATGAAACAGGGCAGTGGTGAGCTGGAGCTGGTAAGGGAGCTGCTGCAGCTCCTGGAAAGGCACAGAGCGGGTAGAGGCTGGACAGACCCACAGCCTCACACTGCTCGTGTCTGGCACAGTCTGCGGGGAAAAAAAGGCTACAGCTGGTTGGCATGGGTTGTTCTCCTTCCTGCTTGCAGAGGAAGAGAAGGAGGTCTTCCTGCCCCTTCCTCCTCTCCCCAGCACAGCAGCAGCCTCAGCCTTCGTGCTCTCCTCCTCTCCCTGCACGTGCTCCGGGTGCCAGCCGTGCCCCATCCGCTCCTCGGTGTGCTGTGATCCAAACCCCGTCCTCCTCTTGGAGGACAAAGCCTGGGGGGCTGAGACAGAGCAGAGGAGGTAGAAAAATAAGGGGGGGGAAAAAAAAAAGGACAGGAGAACATGGGGAAAACTCAAACTGGGAGATGCTAAGAGGAGAAGATCCCAGTCCATAGGCCAGGTGGGAGCAGCAGGCATCAGGGCGGCGCGGGGCCGTGGGGTGGGAACCCCACTCCTCAGGGCCGGTCACCTCCTAGAGCTCCTCGAAGAAGGCCACGCGGGACTTGGTGCTCTGTAGGGTGAGCTGCAAGAGAGCAGAGGGGACACGGGGTGACTCCCTCCTCCCGCGAGGCCCCTCTGGAAGCAACGGGAATGGCAGAAGCGGGGATTTCTGGCTGCAGAGGGTGGAGGACGGGTGCAGGAAAGGCTTGCAGGATGGGCAGCTGCTCCTGCTTGTGCCACCATCCCCCAAAACTCCAAGGGTGCTGAGGGGCAGCGGATGAGGTCAGAAACGTCAGCAGAGCTCTTGTGGTGGGGAAGCCACAGCAGCCCTGCCTCTGCCCTGCCCCAAACCCGCAGACCACATGCGGGCCGCCCCGATGGGAGCCGCCTTCGATCCCGATGGATGGAGCTGAAGCTGCTCATTCGCCCCCAGGGCTGGCTCAGGGCCAAGGCTCTGCAGGACCCCAAAATCCACCTCAGCAAAGCTTTCTGCAGCAAGAGAGAGGCAAAACTAAAAATACTACCCCGCGTCAGAGCCACGCTCCCGTTCGTTAATGGGCGAAATGAGAGATGGAAGACACGTCCTCAGCCGAGAGGAAGAGAAGTGCAGTATTTCAAGCTAACCACCCCAATCTGCGTCCTGGGAGCAGTGCCACCTTCCCAACAGCTGCTGAATCACCACCAGGGTTGCCAAAGCAGCGCTAATTGCGAAGGCTTCGTTTGGCCAGGCTGAGCGGTGAGCGGTCTGCCGGGAGCGCGTTGTGCTGTCGCAGGGATCCCGGGCTGAGGCTCCAGCCCTGCACAGCACTGCCAAGTGCTTCCCTCTCCCTGCCCGCCCCGCGTCCTCTCCTCACTAATTCCTTCACAGCTCTTCATTCTGAATCCCATTTGGAAAAGCTCTATTGCAGAGGGCGTTTCTGCAGGGGCTTCATGCTGGAGCAGGGCTGGGCGGCTCTGCTGCATCCCCCTGCCTCTCTTGAGCTGCAGCCTGCGCTGGGTTTGGGCTCTTCCAGCAGCAAGTGCTCCGGTGAGAGGCAGTTCTCTTCCCCAGAGCCTGGGTCACATCCCAGGGAACGTAGTGTCAAACTCAGGTGGCACACAGGGTCACAGAGCCACTCCAACCCACAGCAGGGGCTGCGTCCTCCTCACCCTGCCCAGCTGCACGCTCAGTGCTCCAAAAGGGAACACATGCGAGGCAAAGCAGGGATGCTTTCCCCAGGCTCCTAAGAAAGACCCAACATCCCCCGACCTCCCTCTCCCCACAGCCTCACGGGGCTCCCCTCCAGCAGCAGCAGCTCTGTTTGCCCAACAAGGGGAATAAACGCACACGCAGCACGTGGCCGAGGCCGAGTGATTAACAGCCAGTTACATTTTCGTCAGCAGAGAAGGGGGAAAAAAAAAACTGATTTACAAGCAGTATTATGATAATCTCCTTCCTGCAGGAGGGAGGGGGGTGGGCTCCTCACTGCACTGCCAGAGCCAGCAAAGAAAATTTAGAGAGGGAGAGGGAGCACAATTAAGCAGCCAGAGCTCCAATGAATCAGAATAGGGAGAAGGGAACGGTCCCACTCCCCACAGGCTCGTGCTGGGGCTGCCTGGAGCTCTGCCTTTACCCAGAGCCGCTGGTCTTATTTGATCTAAGAAAATAAACAACAACAGTAACAAAACCCCACCAATCAGCCCCTCCTCGGCAAACCCACTTTCCAGCAGCTAACCCAGCAAGCGCAGCGCCGCTGCTGGCACACGGAGAAGCCACGAGGGCTGCAGGAGAACCCCCACATGGCCACTGCGACACAGCTGGGGCCACATCCCCCCTGTGCCACCCCTGGGCACGTTCTGCTGCTGCTCAGAAGGAGATGCTCAGTCTCTGCTAAACCCAAGGCGAGTGCTGCAGGCTGTAAATCCTCTTTACTGCCGCCCCCGCTCCCCTTGTGTCCTCTCCATCGCTCCAGCACCCAGACGGACCTTTCCATTCACACATTTCCTTTTTAAAACCCAAACCTTCCCCATTCTCCCCTCCCCCCCCCATCTCCTGTTCCCTCCTACTCCCACACCACCATTTATTCTCTCCCAAACACGGGGCCCGGAGCACAACTTTCCCCCAGCCTCCATCGCTTTGATGAGAGCGCTTAAAAGAGAGGAGATGACACTCCAGTTGAAGGAAACACTTTTCAAAGGCTGCCACAAAAATAGCTGATAGGCCTGACGCTTTCTGCTTTCCTTTTGCTCCTTGTAAACAAGGAAATTAGGCTGCTCTGTCCCATTTTAGCTGCTGGGGAGTTTCACTTCCCGGCTCCGAGGCGCGGAAGCAAACACCTCGCCTGTTTTGGGGCAGAAATAAAACAAACCCAGCAGGGATATGGGCTCACAAAGCAGGATGCAGGATGCCTCTCCTGGATTAGGAAGGGGATTTGTGCCCGGAGCTGCCTTGCTCACCGGTACCACATCCAGGCTCTGCTCCACGCTCCATCCCTGCGGCTCCCAAGGTGACAGCATGGCACTGGTGCTGCTCCTCCTACAGCCACTTGCTGGGTGCATGCCCCTTTCTGCAGCGTGCAAACTTTCTTCTCATGGTGAGAAAAAGGATGCAGATGGCAACAGCCCCATTCTGCAGCCCAGCAGCATCCAGGCCACCGCAGCGCCCGCAGCAACGGATGCACGCAGCCCCACGCAGCTCAGATTGCTCTGTCCCACCCAGAGCAGCACTGTTTTTGCTGTAAGATGAGGCTCTTGAGGCACATCACCACCTTCCTCCCCTGGAATGGCCACAGTCCCCCACCTCCCAGCTGCTGCTGGAGCACAGCTGCTTTCTGCAGTGCCCAGCACAATCCTACGTGCCGCCACCTTTGTATCGGTGACACATGGCCGTGCCCACAGCTGGCAGCCCAATGTCCTCAGCGTACAGCAGAGGACAGGGCAGGGGGCACCCTGAAGATGAAAGGATAAGGACAAACCCAGGCAACCCTGCAGGTGCCCATGTCTGAAATGAACCACGCTGTGTCCGTGGGAAAAGTGCTGCTCGTGGCTCAGTGCAACGCGGGGCTCACGGTGACACCAGACCCCAGGCAGCCTATCCACACCCCTGCTGTGCTTCCCATCCAAGCGTCCCTCAGCAGAAAATCAAGCAGCATTCACCAGATTTCAGGGTGATGCTGCGCTGCAAATAGGATCAGTGAGAGAAGCAGCTGGCAGCAGCACTATCAGCACTGGCCCATACCAACACAGCTGTCTGCACCGATTTCCAGGGGCAAGAGCAGCGCCGGGTGAAGGGAGCCAGCTCCAGCCCTGGAGAAACACTGCAGAAAAGCCTAAAGGCAGCCTGGTGGGCAGCATTCAAAGGAGCAGAGCAGTGCTCAAGGACACAGCAGTTTGGCTGGGAATGGGCGCAGAGATTTGCTCCTTGCCCGGATACTTCAAAGGGCTTAAATCACAGTAAATAAGCATGACAGCACAGGAAGAAAAGCAATTGGAATGAAAGACCCGGCTGTGCTCCTGTTTTAGAGCAGCAGCCTGTCCTGGGAGGTTTCCTACACTGGAGGATGAGAGGAACTGCCTTTTTTCTTTTTTTTTTTTTAATATTCTACTGCAGTCTAAGCAGCAAACCCTCCTGAAGCCAAGCCAGCTGGAGCCAGCAGCACCAGCCCACGGCGCTACAGAGAAATCAGCTTCCAGATGAGGTGCTTGTGCTGTGCCCACAGAGCTGGTGAAATAGGATTAGCATGTTAACCACGTAATTAAACACCAAGAACTTCGCAGGCGTCTTCAAAGGCAGGCAACAAAACCCGGAGGTCACAATGCAGTGCTCGCTGTGTGCCTGATTTCAGCACGGGCTCCTCCCCAGCACTGCCTCCCGCTCAGCTGCTGGGTGACTTCTTCTCAGACTGCTGCTTTCCCTCCCTGTTCACAGCCACAAGTGGATTTCACCACATTCAAGGTGTCTCAGAGCTGCTCAAACCACTGGGTAAAGAACAGCAGGTATCCACAGGCAACAAACAGCCCCGTGGGGACTGCTGACATCTCCCCAGTGTGGGCTTTTTTCTCTAAGGAGATGCTGGGCAACGAGAGCAGCCTGGCGTGGGAACACCAGCATGGCTCTGGAGCAACAGTGAGTGACACACAGCACTGCCCTGCAGTCCCCAGATGGCACCAACCTGTGCTGATCACTTCTGGTCACGTGCTGGGGAGAAGGCTGCATCTGAAGTGTGTTCCTGCATCTGCTATGGAGCTCCAGAGGTGCTGGGAAACTGCTCCCCAGCCAGGCTGCAGGCAGGGCTCTGCTAGCCCTCAAAGAAACTTTTAACAAAGGTTTTTTTCCAACCGAGTTTGCCATCATTGTAGTACCTTCATTGCTTCTTCCTTTAGCTCTACAACTCAAAACTTGCTGTGGCTGCACGCAAGATCAGTCATGGAAAGAGCAGAGCAGCTTCCCCAAACACATCTTCCCTCCGGGCACACGAGCTCCTGGCTCAGCCTGCTGCCCAAGGCACTGCCAGCTCTGTGAAGGAGACACACAGCACTGACAGAGCAGAAAGGAGCAGCGTAACAGAGGCAGGGGACGAGGCGCACGGCAGCGCGGCAGGGTCACCCTTGGGATTCAGCTGGCTCACAACAGCAGCTCCAGCAGGCTGATGTGTCACACCGTGCCTGTCTCCCTGCCCCTGTGCCACACAGGGATAACTGCTGGCCTCTAGCAGGAGGCAGCACGGCAGAGCTGGAGGAGACAGTTGCTCAGCAAATGCTCAAATCTCAACACTGTCTCCCCAGAGGCAATGCTAGAAATGCTATTTGAGTCATTTAAAAAGAGCTGGTGTCCACGAGCACGGCCTGCAGGGAATAACCCTAGGAAAAGCACAGGAAACCTCTCCTATTCCTAATGGCTGTTATTTCTCAGGGCTGGGGAAAGCTGGCAGCAGAGGAGAGCCCAGGGCTAAGAAGAGCTGCCCCGAGGTGCCACACTAGCCACTGCCAGGTGCTGTCCCCTTGCTGCACACTTCCCAAGCCCTACCTGCAGACATTGTCCCCTGCTGCCAGCTTTCCACTGCCCCAACTCTCTCCAGGCTACACATCCACGTGCTGCCCCACTCCAAGACAGAAGTGCAAGCGTTCAGTCTGAAATAACTGCTTTAGCAGCAACAGTGAGAAGGAAGTGATGGAGTTTGTTCTGGGCTTTGTTTGTTTTGGTTTTTTAAGCTCATGAATTTCTTTCTGCAGCAAACAAGGGGGCAGATCCCGTTTTACTTCATTAAAGAAATCTTCAAAGGCCACCCTGTACCTCCGATAGATTCCCAGCCACAAGCAGCAGAGCAAAACCAGGCTTGTTTAATTATTTAAGAACCTATGCCTGCACTCCCCCGCTGATGTTGCCAACTCAACTTCTGCCAAGAAAGACGCTTCCCAGCATGGGGAATCAGGTGTGAAAATGAATGTGGAGAAGCTGCAAATGCTACCGACGGAGTGAGAGCCGGGCAGGGCTTCCCACACAGGGAAGGGCAGGTGCTGGGGACACTGGTGTCACACTGCATGGAATGCTGTGAGGATGGCAGCAGCGGGAGCTGGCGAGAGTAGTGGACATCACAGGCAAGCTCATGCACAGGTTAGTGTTGCAGCCGGTGACCCCATCACCACACGCAGAGTACCTTGGAATAACCTACTTTGATGTCTCAAATGCAGATAGGTCTTCTGCCCTGGGCTTGAGGCTAAACCAGCAAAATAAAATGAACACACACACACACACACAGAAAAAATCCTCTGTGATAGGAGCAATGTCAGGTCATTCGTGCAATCCGTACAGCTTGCCCCGAATGCTGAAGTGCCCAGCAGCTCCCCAGGTGGGGCAGAGGGCTGGTATTACTGATGCATTTCTCAACTACTATCCTCTTGTCCACCTCCCGTGTCCTGAATTTTCCTTTCCATCACAACTGTGAAGACAAAAGCCCTCCTGACCTCCCGAAGGCACGAACAAAAGCAGCCTGTAATTTCATCCTGATGTGTTTCACTAATAGACTGTTATTTAAAAACCTCTGCTCCTCTGGCTGAGATGCACGAGCCAGGCAGCCCAGGAACCCTCCAAGAGGCAGGGGAGAAGGCTGAGCTTCAGGAGGCAGCTGACCGCAGCCCCAATTACAGGGATCTGTCAGGGCATCATCTCTAAGTGCCTGCCGAGGCGCCCTCCTTAAGTGAGACAAATGGGACCAGCAGCTTTCTATGAACATATCTCAAAAAGCTACGTAGGAAAAAAAAAAATTAGCATCTTCTGTTTATGCTGAGGGCTCTGAGTATGGAGACATACTGCAACAAAGCTTAATGGGAGCAGAAAGCTTTTCAGATTCTACAGCGATAAAAAGGGTCTGTGAATATTCTTATATTCTTCCTTCTGGAAAGACAGGAACCCAAATAGTGTAGAACTAACACTGGGAAACTTGCCAACAAGATCCACTAGATTCATTTAGTGACCATAAGCTCCCAGCCATGAAAATCAGCATGAACTGACACTTTCAAACCCTTTTAGGGTTTTTTAAAAGATTCGTTTTTAAAACCTGTAATTGTTGCCACAACCTGCATGCTTGTGAAGTGTGCCATACAGGCACAACCTTCCAAAAGCACACCTGCTAGCAAAAAGCCTGGGGAAAGCCTTTGCAGGTGTTTGGAGCTGACCACGCCATCCCTCTGCACTGGGTACGGATGCACCCCCTGCCTCTCATTAAAATGAACCCAGCTGGGAGAACAGCAGAGCTACTAAGCTAAAGACAAAGGGCCAGGTGTAAAAATAAAGAATGCCTTTTGTTGTGACCTTCCACGTGTGACTCCTGCACCAGCAGACCCAGGCTTTCTGGTTCAGTATTAATCTCCAGAGCATTTCTACAGGCAAGTGGTTCCAGGGTCCAGCGCACAGGGAGCAGACACCCACACAAACCTTACCAGCAGAAGATTTTGCTGTTAGTATCTGAAGCTGCACTACAGGTTACCTGAGAACAGACTAAAAGCGAGGGCGAGGCTTTTGGCTTTTTCTGCTGGGAGCTCACAAATCAGGAGTATTTCTCCCCTTATTATTCCCCAGCCGAGCTCAAACCGCTTCTCCGTATTGCCCTTGGGGGATAGCTGCACAACAAGTAGGGCTTTTCCTTTTCCTGAGGTCGGGAGGGGAGCAGAACCCTCTAAACAGCAGCCCTCTGCAGCTTTGTTAAGCTTCAGCAAGACAGGCAAAGCTCAAGATCTTTGCCTCCCCTCACAGAGCACCAAAGGGACAGGGCTTGGTTGCAGTAAACACCAAACCATGGCCACCAGAAGCCGAAGCTCCTTGCGCCCTAGTTCAAAGCTAAGCAGCCAGGGAAGAAAGCCTAGATCAAACAATTTTATTATAACAACTTGTGCAAAATATAGGAAGGGCTATTCTGTTGTCGTTTTAAAAGGATTTCATCAGGCAAGGTACAAACTGGAGCCCTCTGATACCTTTTTAATAGTGTTGTGCTTGCTGTTGCCTCGGCTGGCATTCTCGTTGTGCAATATATCCAGAGCTGTCTCTCTCTCCTTCAGCTTCAGCGCCTCGATTTCAGTCTTCAGCTCATTCAGCTGCTCCTGCAGGTGCTTGCTTTTCTCCATGTACTCTACCCTGGCACACACAGACAGCGCTGGGTTAGTAGTGGCCTGGTGCACATGGTTATTTTGTGGCAGCCAACAATAGAGTTGTAACAAAAAAAAACAAAACCACATTTATCTTCATCATTTAAAGCGTACAGAACTGACATCATCCATTCACTACTTCCAGCTATTTGTTGTCAAAAAGAGAACCCAGACACCTGACTAGGAGCTGTAAGTCATGTTGCTGTAGGGGAAAAAAAAAGCCAAGCCAAGCGAGGGCAGCAAGATGATTGTTGTAAGTCTCCCCATTTTGAGTGACAGATAAACACGATGCAATTTCAGGCCAGAAAAATGTTTCAAGCAGCACTGCTCTACTCCTCTGCAACCTCTCCCCAGCTCACAGACTTACAGAGGCACGAATTCTTGTGGGCCATTTTCAAGGAAGAACTCTGATATACCAAACTCTCATGTTTCAGAGGGATTTAATTTAAGAGGTATGACAGCAAGCATTGCACCCAGAATAATAGGTAGCATCCCTGAGAAGGAGAAAGGTCTCCCAAAGATAGAAAGGAAAAAATACCAACAACAGAAAACTAGGCACTCTCAGGACTCAGCCTTAAATGCCTTCTACAAAGGAGCATCTGCTGGAGACAAGTCACACCATGGCAGCTTGTACTTGTGATTAAACACTGCGACTGGGGTCAAAGTGCCAGCAGACTAACAAGAACCCTTTCAGAGTGCCAAAATTTGTAGCAAGGTTTAGCTCAGCACCCGAGGAATGAGAGCTCGTCCAGAGAAGCCAGCGACAGCCCGTTGTTGCTTTTATCATTTAGCAGAGCCAAGATCCTCCTGCTTAGAAGAGTGGGCTGACCTAGTTAGGGTACAGAACCAGGAATTACTGTGGTATTTTCAGATTTCATCCCTTTTTTCCTTCTGGCTTGAGGAAAAATTCTTAACCTCTGCCTCTGGAGTAGAGGTCTGTTATTTAACAAGCAGGAGAGGTACGGAGCAGAGGCAGAATGAAGCACCCAGCGGGATGCAGGGTGCCTCACTGCAGCCCCAGGAAGTTACAACCGCAGCATTATGGCAGAGCCCTTCCAGCTTTGATCTGCTATCCAGTCAATGAACAAAGCACATTATTACTACTGAGATTAAAATCTGATCTGCTTTGATTTCTGCTAAATTTGTGATTTCGAAGGCTGCATTTAAACCCTCAGGAAAACACGAGATCAAAGCTCATAATCACATCCAAACTTGCTTGCGCATACTTTTTATATATAAACATGCCACAGATTCGAAGGAAAAGGGGTTAAAGCCCTAACACAGGATGCAGCCCTCATTGCAGCCATCCTGACATGCTCTGCACATACAGCAAACACACAAGCACCTGCCTGCAATAGTCCAGCATGCCAGCAGTCACACTGCTGTTAACTCTTTCTGCCAACAGAATGGAAGCCTACCCAAGAGCTAGGTTCACCACACAGATGGGAACTGTGCTGGCATGGCTCAGCGTGCTTAAATTTGCCTTTAACCAGGTAGCGGAGATACAACTGTGACACCAGGTCCCCATCCAGAGGAATGGCCACCCAGCAGCTCCATCGTGCTCTGAGCTGTTAGTACCGACCTGGTACACGAAGCCCCACAAGCCTTCTCCCCCCTTCACCTCACACCAGGGCTCATCTGAATGTAAAAGTCCTGCTCTCCTTCCTGCAAACAGGGCACAGCCACAGCCAAACCCACGCTGGCAGCACGCCACCTACTTCTCTTTCTCGATCTCCATGGACAGCCTCTTCATGTCTGTATCCTTGAAGTCAAAGGACAGGCTCTCACTGATGAGGTTGAAGCTCGGCAGGTCGGTTGGCAGTGCTGTCGTGCTGGAGTTCATGGACTGCTGAAGAGAGAGGATAAATTAATCACTTTGGCCACACAGATGCTCCTGCAGCAGCTGTTCTGTAACAGGCAGTGTAGAGGCAAAACCTGAGCAAAGCCCAAGCACACAGCACAAAGTACTACTTCAGTAAGTGTAGCAAATTAAGTGCTTTAATAAAGTCTTGATTGCCCACGCAGGTTCTGTCACTGCATCACTTCCTCTTGGGAGACTCCAGCAGCTTTTTAACCTTAAATTTAGTATTAAAAGCACAGGCTACGAGCAGGGGCAACGTGAGATCCTGTGTGACCAGAGTCCTGCGCTCCAGCACTCCTCAAAGCACGGTCAAAAAGCATGGTAACTCCAAAGGTTAACTGAGGCTGCCATTTCAGAAAGGTCCATGAAGATGCACTCATAACTTTGATTTTAATCTTTGCAGTAACTAATAGTTCCAAGCATTTAGGAATCACGGCCATCCCTCAGCTAAAATATCTGTCACACCTGTAATAAATGAGCTTGTTATCAGTACAGGATGAGCATCCTGACTCAAATCATCACTCCTCTCTTGCAGTCTGTTAGATGAGGTTGCAAGCAGCAGCACACATCAAGGGTGGTAGAGCAGCTTCAGACACCAGACTGCACACATAGATCTGAGTCACAGCTGCTGCCAGCATGCTGGCCCTTGGTTTAGACTGAAGGAAAACAGACCAGCACCCAAAAGTCACCCAGCTCCCTGCCAGGGGTCCGTCCCCCTTTAAGGAATTCCTGTAATAAACCTGCCTGAATCAGGTTGCTGTTGTGGGATGGCAGGAGATGGCTCTGCAGAGACAGGCAGGTCTGGCAGCAGTAGGGCAGAGGGTACCTGCCCCCAGGAGCTCAAGCTGTAGCTGGCAATTTCTTTCCCTTGTTTTGTCTATTTAGGACTGTTTGCAGCCAGCTCCACTTCAGCAAGAACCACCAGTGTTATGGCTGGTGACAGATTTACTCCATGCAATAACCTCCCTCTCCACTCTCCACCAGCCTGGAATTCACAAAGAGCTGGGGCTCATCTCCACTCCTGGACAAACCTGAGAGGGACAACTTCACTTGCCTCCTGCAGAAATGCAAACATCTTGTACAAGAAGGTGACCACAATTGCACTGCCTGGCCTGGAATGTTGCAGATCAGTCACACTTAATGCTGCGAGGAAAGCATCGTTTCTTACTCTCAGTTTCAGGTTCTGCTAACACAGAACACGACCACATTAATTCTGCAGCGCGTGCCATAAGGGATAGCTGAGTACCTGAATTCCTCTCTCCAAGGAGAGGGGACAGACCAGTGAAGGCATCTGCTGATTTAAATACCTGCATCACATTGACATTCAAGACCCTTCGCTACGAGGCATGAAGGTTTACAAAGCTGCTCCCATGTGAGGTTTTACAGATGTGCAGGGGAACCAGGACCATCCAAACTATCCTGCTGGCCTTAAAACAACCTTTACCATTTACAGCACATGCTCCTTCTGTTTAAACAATAAAAAAATGCTACAGCCCCAAACAACAGCAGTAAGAGCTGAGCGCGAAGTGCGTTCAGTTGCTGCAACCATCAAGTCCTGATGCCCATTTCTCAGGGTTACTACTGCTACTTCCTCCCTTCACAGCTCTTTCATGAAGCAACAAAAAACCGATGGAGAAGTACGAGAGCAGCAGCAGTGAGGAAGCGTAAGGAAGGAACAAAGAAAGAACATGCCGAGTGCTTTCAAAGGCACGGGCTCAGCATCTGGAGCAGAGCACTTCCCTGCCATTTGTGATCACATTGGGCAAGGCTTGCACGAGTCACAGGGATTTTTAATTGAGAGGACATGAGATGTCACTGGGGCATCGGAAGACAAAGGGGACGCAGAGCTTTTGCCTTATGCATTTCCTCACCTGGAACAAAACGCATAACCCTGTTATTACATTAAAGCAATTTCCTGCAGTTAATAGAGGCGAGCACCACGCTGACAGCAGTCATCCCTCTGGGGAACAGAGCAAATGAGATGGACGATATGAGGGAAGCACAGAGCAAGCCATGTCATAAGGCTTTCCCCACAGGGAGAGCTGCTCCTGCTGCTGCCACTGCCTTCGCTTTGCTACTTGAAGACTTGGGCAGGCCCAGGACAGGCACTTCATACTCCAAAGAATCACAGAAGAGACGACTGCCTTTAGTCTTGCTGTGAGTGGTACCTGAATGGCAATGAAGGAGGCAGGAGGCGCTGCCAAGTCAGTAAAGAATGAATTGTTCTCCCAGCCCTGCTGGCCTGAGACTCAGGTTTGCTTTTTCTTTCTCATGCATCATCCACCACCACCATCACAAAAGCAGTTTTGGCTTCAAGGTCTAAAAAGACACCTGAACAAGCTTTAAAAAGCCAGTACAAGGGACTGGAAAATTACCAAAGAAAAATTTTAACTGCTTCTTGTCATTTCTGTAACACATCCATCCTCTCCTCCCTTCCTCTTTTGCCTCTTTCCCAGGAGGGAAGTTCTGGCCTGACTACAGCACAAACTCTGGGAGAAAGGAAAATAACAAGCTCAGCGTTACACCCTCATTAAGGGAGAGAAGAGCTGGAATCTGGTACCGTTTGGCAGAGCTGCCATTCACCTGAGGGACACCAGCCTCCCAGCAGCAGCTTTCAAAACCCTTCATATCCCTCAGGCCACTCTGGGCTTATTCCCTCCCTCCTACTGCGCCTGCCCAGCACGGTCCTTTCAGCCAAACCCTGTGCAGGAGCAGCACTTCAGCACATCTTGCTCTTCTGTCCCAAAGCGCTCACGTGGCAGAGAGAGGAGAGATGCTACAAAGGAAGAGGGACGTGAGACAGGTGTAACAAGGGATGGAGATGGGGTGCTTCACACACAAGGGCTCAGCAAGGCACTGTCAGGTGGATGTGGGTCTAACAGTCACAAGGCAGCCAGCTGGCCTGAGAAAAGCAATAGACTTGTGCTGTGTCTGTGTGCTGCAGTGCTGCTCCCAGGGCTGGGAGGGGGCAATAGCTGCGAGAGGGGACTGTCATCTAAATAGGGAGAGAAAAGGCAAACCACTGCTCTTTGAGGAAAGGAGAGGATACAGCACTGTGTGTCAGGAGGTGGCAGCTCTGCACAGATTGCCTCCAGGACAGATGCAGCTGGAGGGGTGGAGCTGAGCTCCATGCAGTCCTGCTGCACTACCTCCTGTAATTAGGCTTTAACTCCACAGGCAGGAATGTAGCCTCGCTGCTGATGGCTGGTGTGGGCAGCACAGGGATTTATGCACAAGAGCTCACTAGCTGTGATTCTGCTTATTTGACTAAGGATGAGCACAGCCATGTGAGGGAACCTGGATGCGAGTGCTCTGCCCAGACATCAATGCTGGGCTGATGTGGCCATTCAGCAGGTTTTCAACAAGTATGCTTCACTTTGTGAGTAAATTAAACTCAGAATTCAAGAACTGGTGGATCCCAGAAACCTGCAGCAACACGAGGAGCTCTCCAAAGATAAGGTTTATGAAGCATCAAGCCTTACAGCACTCCACTGAAGGCCCTGAGGCTAAAAACACCTCACTATTTTCCGTCACTGCTGTTTCTTAAACGCTTCTGAATGTTTTTGCAAGGATCTTCAGAGAATCTGGATGAAAAGCTTCTTCATCACCAGCCCTCTTCAATCTGCCTCTCAAAAGGTTTGAGGGGAGAGAGGGAAGGAGCTCACACATACAAATTAAAACTTCAGTACTAGACAGGTCAGTAACTCCCACGTATGTCTGTCGAGTTTATTCCTGAAGATGTCAAGTTCTTCCCCCTCCACCTCTCTGGACAAAGGGCAGCAGAAGAGGCAGTCGTGGCAGGTGCAAGCTGCAGGGAAGGAGCACCTGATGGCTTCTGCAGGTCCTGCAGCACAATTAGGGAAGCTGAGGAAAGAAACTGCCAGACAGAACGAGCACTGGTCTTTTAGTCTGGTGTTTCAGTCCCTGGCAGCAATCAAGACCAGATGCTTCAGAGGAAGGTGTGAAATCCTCTTAATGGGCAATTACAGAATACTCCCCCTTCAATGAAGTTGGTTTTTCAGCACAAAGATGCACAGCAACCAGCTTATGTCTAAGAACCATTTCACAGATTTGGAACAACGTTTATCCTTCCTAACAAGTATCAGACTATCCTCAGTTGTGTATTTAACCCTGTTTTAAAAGCTCTTACTGAGCCAGTCCTCTCCACATGCAAAGCACGACTGTAACACATTTTTAGATTAGTTCACAGTTTGCTGCCTTTCATTCCATCAGCAGCTCCCTGGCCTTTGTAGAATAAAGCAGGGTAGATAGGGGAAAAAAAAAGAAGAGCAAAGTGTTCTGGTGGACAAGTTACTTAGATGAAAAGGGCAAGTGCTCCTAAGTATTACAGAACAGCTGCTAAGCAATACAATGAGATGGTTCATACCCCTCTGTGATGGGATGGAGACACAAGACTGCTCCAGGCTACAGAGGATGCCACAGCTACTGTCTGGAAACCAGCAATGACAATACAGATCATTCTTACCGTGTAGGATGACTTGCTAGTGATTTCCAAAAGCTTCTGCTTTGCTCTCCGCTCAGACTCTCGAGCCTCCTGAAGGTCCTGCTTTAGCTGATCAGCCTCCTTTGCCCTACCAAGGAAGAACAGCAAATGGCAATGTTAGATCCAAGCCTAGAGGCTGATAAACACGATTATAGCATAGGTGTAAAACAGAGCTGCCCCTTAACAAGGCCTAAACTAAGAAATCATTTGGATAAGGGAAACAATGGCACCTCTGACATGTGGGACACTAACTAGCACAAAAAGCCATGCCATAGAAGGACAGCTCTGGCACCAGCTCTGCGCTGAGCAGCAGTAAGCTAAGCTAAGGGCTGGAGCAGCACATCGGAATGTCAGAAGAGGAAAAAACACCTTCAACAGGTAAGCTCAGGCTTACAGCAGGAAAGGCAGTTTTCTGACAGGCAAGCCTCTACTAACAATTATTTACTACATTCAAAAAAGACCACGCACCCAAAATCATGCCACTTCACCCTCCTGCAGGGCCCAACTTTTCTAAAACAAGTAGCCAGACTTGAGCATTATGAGCTCCCAAGGAACCCCCAGCAGTGGAAGCCAGGTAAGGAAGCTTTCTCTGCTGAATAGAAATTTGAGCGAAGATTTCACAAGTTAAAGATCAAGGCAAAAAGAGATAGACAGGGACAGCATTTGTCCACTCAAAAGGGCTGAAACCAAGAAAGCTCACATGGATAGGAATAATCAGTTGGAAGGAAACAAGAATGACTTTTTTTTTCTTGCTCACTATCAAAAGCATTGTGAAAGCTGAGTTCTGGTATCAATAGGACAGCAATATCAATTCTACCAAGAGACAAAGACTTGAGGAGCTAAAGAGACCTCAGAGCTAAACTGAAACACAAACTTCACAACTGATAAGGAGAACTAAACAGGAGAGAAGGAAAATAAAGGAACAAATAGAATATAGTAAGTATGGAACTGACATTAAGAAGAAGACAAAAACAAAACCAACTGCTATTCATGTTGTCAAATGCTCCTGAGAATACAGTGGGTGCGTGCAGAAATCACCCAAAAGTTGAGCTGCCTTCAGCTGTCAGGGTGTGAAAGGCACAGCACCAGGGCACTCCAGATGATGTCCCTGTTCCTTTCACCACAGCGTCACCCTTCCAAAGAAGGCTTCAGAGAAGGGATGTCAGCTTTAATCCAGAGAAAGATCAGGGCCACAGCTGTTCTACCTGTACCATTTCCTATGCAGGGATAGCCTAGCTGTGGCAAACAGCAAAACAGAGAGAAACCAGCTGAGCCTGGGGGTCTGTTGCTGTTGTGCATGCAGGGGAGGCCAAGGACTCACTGCAAACTCTGGACTACCTCGAGGTGAGCCACAGTAGTGCTAAGTCAGAATGGGGCTGGAAAGCAAAGCAGAGACAGCTGCAAGGTTGTACCCTCTGACCTCCTCTCTGACTCCTCCGCCATTTTCAGTGCCAACATCTCTGCTTCTAGCACCTTCTGTTCCATCAGTCGCTTCTCCTCCTCCGTCCGGATGGCCGTGGCTTTGATTCGCTGCATCTCTTGCTCAGCCTCTGCTGCTTTCTGAGCCAGGAGCTTGGCCTCCTCCTCCGTGATCTGAGCCTTCTCGGCCAGCAGATCAGCTGTCTCTTCAGATCTCATCTGAGAATAAACACATGTTAAGCCAGCAAGCACACAATGTCTCCTCAAATGTGCTCTCAAGGATGGAGCAGGGCCCCAAACTGAATGTTCCACATGACACCATGGCTCATTGAGTCCCCTCCCTCTCTTCCATGAAAGCCTGCAGCCTCCTGCAGCCAAAACCTGGATGCAGCCAGGCTCTGTCCCAAATAATTCTCCTTTGTGCTCCTGTCTCAGCAGACCGTCTGGATGCAATAAGCTCCATCCAGCCTCCTGATCACCATCCACCAGCAACAGTTTGAGAACAGCCACAGAACTGTCACAACTCAAATGCTTTAGCAGTGGAAAGAGTCAGGAACAGCTGCAGTGCCTCAAGAAACAGCTGCCCAGAGACTTACCAGGGCCTCGTTGGCCATCGTTGCTTCTTCTTTTAATTGCATCAGCCTTCTCTCCAGCTCATCCCTTGTTCTTTCGGCCTCTTCTCTCATTTGCTTCTCTCGGGCCAGGCGCTGTCGTTCCATCTGGGAAAAAGAAACAGGGGAAAGCGAGGAGAAATAACACGAATTAGAAATACTTTTCTCAGGGCTAGAGAGAGTTGTTACTTGAGGGCTTGAACACAAGACTGCACTGCCTCCTTCTCTGCTCATCAACGAGGGACTTCACTAAATAGGATGTATATAGTAAGTCATAGGACTTCACTAAATAGGGATGATGTGAACGTACTCTGTTCACACCATACTGAGCATCCCACTCCTTCTCTCCCTGTTCCTGCACCATTCCTGAGGCAATCCCCTCTTCCCTGGGCAGGCTGCTGCAAACGGTTACATCTGCAGGCAGCATCGTGCTGCACAGACTCACAGGGCAGGCTCCAGCAAGCAAGGTCCCCAGAGCTCTTCCTAAAGTTACCTATGGCAAGCTGAACAGCCAGCCAGACTGGGGTTAAGGACAGTCTGAGGGCAGCACCAGAACATCAAATCCTGACACACAGTCAGGAAGGAATTTGAGGGATGTGGCTGTTACTCTCCATCAGACACAAACACAAATCTAACCCAGCACACTAGACACTTCACTTACAGATGGGGAGGCCACACCATATCAATCAGTTCCTAGGCACAACAAACCATCTCCCTCCAGCTATAAGAGACCTGCAAGAAAGAACAATGCTTTCCCAGGTGGGGAAAAATCAAGCTATGTGGGACAACCCCCCAGAATCCTCTCACCTCTTCCCACCTCTTGTACACCATACTATGCCTCTCTGCTAACCAAGCACAGAAAGGTCGCCATTGGGCTAATTAACAACCAAGCTAAACCACTCCAGCACCAGGGAGATGGGTACATTATAAATATCCATGCTACACCCTGGGCTCAGAGCACTGCACAGGCCACCTGCCAGGTTTAATAACAGAAATAAGTGTGACAAGACACATTTCTCAGCTCCTTGGACACCAACAGTTTCTGAAAGTGGGATACCCACAGCTCTAATGGCTCGGCTTCCTTCTATTAAAGGTTCTCTTCCTCAATTATCATTATGGTCTGCATCCCACTCAGGCCTTCCATTAACAAGAAGTCCTGATGTAAAGAGATTGTTTGGAATCAGTTAACAACTGTGGATCCTGAAGGGAGGACAGTGTACAAGACAGCACAGTGGCTTCTTGGGAGAGCAGCCACCCAAGCAGAAGCCTGAACCCTTCTGTAAAGCACAAGGGCTCTGAATTTGGGATCTCCTGGGAAGCACAAGCTCCTGCCTGCTCTCAGCATCCCTGCATCACTCCATCACCTCTTCTAGCAGCCCAACACAAGATCTCACCCCCAGCTCCTGTTACTCAAACACTTCAAAAAACTCACAAAATCGCAAGACCTGCCCCTGAGGACACCAGCACTCGGACACCACGCTGCTCCTTCTTGAAGGACCTTTTGCTCCACTAATGGCAACTCCTTCCCAACCGCAGGAATCTTTTGTTGGAAAGCAAAAAGCCCCTTTCCCCCAGGAGCTGGCCCACTTGCCCTTGCAGTGTGACTCATGCCCTGTCTTCTCCTTCCAATTCAGAAGCTGCAGGAAGGAGAGCTGTGTCAGGTGGTGCCCGCAAGACAACTCACGCCAAGCCAGGCCAATCCTGGCTCCAGCACTGAGTCCAACACTCTGCAAACACATTCAAAACCAAACGAAGTGCATCAAATTTGAAGTCCCCAGACAGTAAGACTCTCCTGGTGCAACTAAGTGCTTTGGTTTCTTCTGCTGCTATCTAGTGGCTTTGGTACAAAAGGGCCATATTTATATTCTAAGCAGCAGTATTCAGATTAGCTGTGTGGGTTTCAGTGAGTAGAAAAGGTCTACGAGCAGAAAACAATGATTCATACAATCCAATTTGCTGATATATACTCATTGGCTACACACTGCTGCCTCCAAAGAGCTGTTTTTTGCCGCCTGGGCTGACCTGCAGCAGATAAAGGAGGGCAGCATTGAATTAGCATGCAGGCTGCACCCCCTGAAACGTCGGCGTGCATTCCATCACCATGTAATCAGAAAATGAGACCAAGAACCCCGACAAAGCACAGCTCCCCCTCACAGCCCCTGCTTTAATTACAACCAGCCACCCCAACACGCTACATCTTTTTAGCTGCAGAGCTCAGGACAAAAGTGAGGCAGGGAAAGGTGCGCCCACATTTCTGGGACAACCAGACTTGCTCAACCCTCCCCTCCTCCCAGTTCTGCTCCTGAGTGTGGGGGCTGGACTTGGGCTGTCACCAAGCTACAGAGCCATGTGGAGAATGGCACTGCAGGAGCAGGCTGCTATAAAGAGACGTTCAGGCGGACCTTCCCTCAAAGCTGCTCCATGTGCTTGATGTCAATCTGGAGACTGTTCCTCCCCAAGCTCATTTGCATTCCCAATTCTGGCTCACGGCCTGTTTACTGGAGATGTCTCTCACCTGCTTCCTGGCTTTCTCCTCCCTGGCCTGTGCTTTCATCTGCTGCACCTCCAATGAGTCGGCCTTTCTCCTCCTCATGAAAAGATCGTGGTTTCCAATGCACAGCTGAAGAATCTATTCCAGTCAAAGGTGAAGAGAGGAGAGAAAAAGCTGTATGCGTGATGATGGTGGCGTGGTTTCTACTCCTGACACAAAGAACTAGGTTTGGAGCTTGTAAGCACTTCCCTCCTCCAAACCCAAGCTCTATGAGCTCTCGTACCCCAACGTGAAGGGCAGGGAGCCATCAGCTCTTTGCAGAAACCAATTTTCTGTGCAGCCAACACAGCACGGACCTGGCAAGTATTATACCAACCCTGAGGAGGCATTAGGCCAAATAGTAAAACAGCCTTCTACAGCTTCAGCCAGCTCCCCTGCTCTCACTACCCCCCTTTCTTAAGGTTCAAGATTAACTTCCACCTTCTGCCCAACATGAAGCTTAAAAGCACTGAGATGGAAAAAAAAGAAGGAATAACATCTTCCACCTTGGGCAAGGCTACACACAGAGGCTTATCAAAAGTGACCTTGTACACTTTTAGATAGCTTTGAGCATCTATGTTATTTCTTCTGATACTTAAGGAGAAGGACAAGAGAAGTGGTCATACTAGGGAGAGAGAGCAAAGCAAAGGGGGTGGTACACAGAGGGTGGAAAGCTCAGTTATTTTTCAGCAAGGAAAGAGTTTCTAAGCTCTGATTCTTTTAGAAAAGGACAGTTTCACATGTCTGTATTTCATTTCACACATTATGAGTGAATCCTCTGCAGTCAGCACTACGAACCTGACGAGAAAAGTGAATGAGGCCTTTGTGAGAAAGCCCCATTTCCCTGTGCACACAAGTACAGCAGGTGTGTAGGACAGCCTACAGCCAGGACAACAAAGTCCCCCTCCCTTTCTGCCTTCTGAAGATCCATTGTGCAACTTAACAACAGTGCACAGGTACTTCAGCACCTGGATCAAAGCCCCAAAGCCAACTGGACACCTAATCCAGAGTACTAGCTAAAGCTGATCCCCAACACAGACAGCTACACACAGTTCTTGCTGTTCCTGTGACAGCAGAGCATCCTGAGCAGGGTTCAGCCTTGAAAAAGCCAGGGCTGCAACACTGACAACGGTGCTTCCCAAAAGTGGGAGGCCTAAAGCCATGGGTTGGAACAGAGAAGAGCAAGAGAAGAAAAGGAATTTGGAGCAAAAGCAAGGGTTAGGAGAAAGTTTTACTTACAATGTGCTTCTGCCATGCAGGTCAGATGCAACCTGAGAGCTCAGAAAGGGAGCACAAAAACAGAGGAGAGGGGGAGAGGTTCTGTGAACGAGCACAGTTTCATCTTCCCTTTTCTCTTCTAGAGGCTATGACAGAATAACAACTGTGGTACCAAGTCACATCTACAGCCCATCCAGTCCAGCAGCCTATGACTGCTTGAAGGAAAAGCCCCACAAGAGCATTGTTTCGTACTGCCTGCAGAAACTTCTGCTAGAGTAATTTTCACTGCCTGTGCCTGCAGACTTACCAGCTTATTCACACGCAGCTTTGATGAATTGAATTTGAACACATCGATCTTTTTGTCCAATGGCTTAATTGTAAACTGAAAAGGAAAAAATAGAGAGGGACAAAATTATCAGAGAGCTCTGCACTTAATAATGACACAGCTATAAAAGTCTTACCAAAAGCTTTAGCTCAAAGGAGGTCAGCAGTGTCAGACAAACAAGGCTGAGAGCTGTCCCTGTGGCTTTTAGCCAAGCAAGGGAACTAGAGTCAAAAGCAACCAAGGAGACAACTGCTCCTGGCCAGAAAAAGAGGAGTGCCAGATAGAAACAACAAGCATAATGCCCATCTCCTGGCCCCAGAGACTGATCCACTGCCTCCCAAACTGAGACAGGAAACTTCTCTCCTGAAAGCTGTACAGAACTGAGGAGGGCCAGTAGAAAATCCTGACGCCTCTGAATAGAGGAAGAACCGGCTCAGCCGTGTGATGGAGGGCTGAAATAGCTGCTTGTGTTTCCATATTTCTATTCCTCTTGTTAACATTTCCCCTTGCAAGAGCTCCTCATAAGAATTTTTCAGTGCATTTTCTTCTCCAGAACTCAGTGATGTCTCAAGCCTGCTCTGCAGCCCAAAAGGTGATTCCCTTGCACCAACACGCTTTGATGCTTTGTGCCACTGATCAGCTCCAAGCTCATCCTAAGTGCACCCTCCCCAAAGCGCCTTCCCACAAGGATTCTCTCAAGGGATACAGGTGGCATCACCAGTATTGAGGGTTTCAGTAACACAGCCCCTGGACAAAGAGAAGATTCTGAACTAACAAAAGGATGCTTGAAGAGACAGAATGCTCTGCAATACTGCATTTTTTAGAAGGTGTGTATGTATTCCATCACTCTTCCACATACTACAGAAATAACTGGCTGAAGAGATAGCGCGGTAGCAGGCAGCCTGCGTCCATTAAACCAGCTCTATTTATCAACACATTGTACTGCCTGAAAGGGGCTCAGCAGAACTCGCCCTGGCAGTGTTTTGTTTTGTCAGTTTAAGAGCCCATCTTTTCAGACTTTCACACAGGCAGACGTGCATGAACGTCCTGGGCTTCAGCTCCACCACAATCCACGCCAGTCATTGGAGGCACCAGCAGAAATATGCCAGAGGAGGAATTTCAGTTCCACATAAACAGTCAATCTTTGTTACAATAGATTAAATACCCCTGCTGTGTCAGTGTAGCTGTCAAACCCAGCTATTAAGCCTGTTTACTATCACGTCAGTTCTACTTGTGGTCATCTTATTACCCAGATTATTGCCCTGATAGAAAGTGGCAGGCTTTTTCCCCCCCAAGAGAAAGATCTGTTACAGTCTTGTGTCAAGGCCCAGTAACAGGGCCTTCAATCCCCATATCTCTGAGGCAGCGCATGATCTGACAGCTTCCACTGATCTGTCACGGGTAGAAAAGTCTTTGAAAGTCATTAAGTGCTGAGCTGCTTGGCAGAGTTATGGAGCTCTCTATTTTTGAGCAGAAAAAAAAACAAGTGACAAGAATTCCAACATGGCCTTTTCCTACAAAACTTCATAAGACATGCAATAAATGCAGCTGATGAGAAGCCTTTAACTTTTACCCTGATCAATATCACGTTTAAATTGGAAAACACTTTAATTAACAAGTTAATTTTCTTCCTTACCACGAAGGCAGTTGCTTTTCTTTGAGCAGTTCTCACAGGCTAAAAGAACCGAGCAGATCGGTTTCTCCTCTGCAGACAGTTTTATTGCTGTTCTCAAATGGGTTTGGCAGCCAACAATTCTAAAGATTTGTATTTATGCTCTGCATTTAATAAATATTTCTCTTACGGTGAGCTTAAATTTTTCAGCCTCCTAAAAAGATTCCAGCTGTTATGCCAAGCCCAGCAGCCAGAGAATTCAAGATGATGTAATAGCATGTCAAGATGCAAGAGTTTTTCTCACCAGGAACACCTCTCACCACATCCCATAATTCAAGAGCACGCACACAGAAAAAAAACAATTTAAACTTCCCATCTTCAATATTTGGGCTAAGCACATCAGTAGTGATTTTGTTTGTGGAAAAAAAAAACATCTAGTGGGTTTGAAGGTACTCTAAAATCAAACCAGTTGACTTTCTGTTTGTCCACTCCTGGAGAGTCTCAGCTGCCTTCAACTATGCTGGTCATAGCAAGCACAGCAGATAGGAGAGCAAAAAGAAACCATTTTACATTGTAATTGTGCTCTTACTGGCACTGCTCTCAGAAGAGAGGGGAGATGGATCCATACCTCTTTATCACTGTAGGAGATATTCCGGATCTCATTCCACGGGAAGGAGATTTTAGGGGTCAATCTGTTGTCTGGGTCATAAATGTGAAGACCCAAAGCATCGACTCCAAGGAGCAGTTCAGTACCCTTCTTATTCTAAGGGAGGAAAGAAAAGAACAGAAAATCCTTTTAATCAAATCAAGGACAATCTGACACAAATCAAGCCTTTGCCAGCTTTGTGAACCAGCCCTGAGCAGCGACCCACCAGCACTGTATATTAAAAGGGCTCCTACCTCCTGGGTAGCAAAGCACAGCACAGTGACTCCCATTAACATGGCACAGCCGTGTCCCAGGTCCGCTGCCTCTTGCGGTCTCCACTCACACAATCTCACAGCAACACAGACAACAGGAGAGCTACCCCAGCAAGGAACTCTGAACACCTTGAAAGCACAACCTACACTCACCCTAATTGCAAAATAGTTCACTCCATACATCTCCAAATCCTGAGCTATCTTCAAATACTCCATTTCTGCTTCATCTCTGTCAGACAAAAAAGAGAAAAAAAGGCCAGAGTTACAGACACTTGGTAGGATCAGAGAGAGTGAGATGGCTGCACTTTCTGATCCTAAGCACACACGATGCTTTAAAACCTTGACTGTCTCTATCACATGGGTCAGGTTTGTCTTTGCTAGCAGGATCAATACAGTCCTACAGCAAATCCCAGTCTGCAGCTTGCCAGCATCTTAATGGCTGCTGACGCCCGCCCAGAGAGACACAGCACTTCAAGCAACGCTTTGTTCCTCTCCCAGTCCCTTAAGCATAAAGGGAAAAGTCTTCAGCTGGGAGTCCTATGCTCCAGTTCTATCTTACTTCAGGAATATCTCCCACAAAGAGTGTTTTACCACATGAGCAGTGATACACCTCACCAGTCTGACTTTCTGCCTTGGAGTCTCTATTTCCTTCCTTGCCCAGTGAGCCCCCAGAGCCCCTGGGCAGTAGGGCTGCCTCTGTGCCTCTTTGCAGGTGCTCCCCTCCTGAGCACGAGTCCCAGGTTCACCCCATCAGGAACCAGTGGGCAGCAGGGCAGAGCCACAGGAATAAAGAAAGCTCTTTGCCCTCTGTGAGCCTGTGAGCCAAGCTTGCTGGGATTAACCCTGCTACGAGCATAGCTCACCCATCACCTGCTCAAGGTCCCCAAAACCCTTGCAGCACTTCAAGTGAGGGGGCTGCCCCTGAGCCACAGGCCACTCCAGCACACACTCACCTTGCTCTGCCTCGATGCTCTGCATACCAGGCTGTAATCCTCTCCTCCCACATCTCTGGAGTCATCTGGTACAGGTTTATTACCTGAGACACACAAGGAGACAGAGATCCAGGTCACACTGCTACCTGCCATGTTTTCCCAAGCCGTGAAACAGGCCAGAAATGCCCAAGCTTCCAGCATAATCCCCAGGCATTACAGCTCCTGCCTGCTCGCCCAGCAGTGCATGTTCAGCCCCACGCTTTGCAATATCACAGTGCTGATTTAGCCCTCAAGCATGCACAGTCTCCAGGCCACCAAGAAGAAACACAGACAGAATGAAAATGTGAAAACCATCAGAAAGGAAATAATTGCTTCTGCCTTTATTAAAATGTCAGAAAAATACTGAATCCTCCTTCCTCAGTACAACTCCTTGGGTCGTTTACCTTGACAAGGAAATCCACCCCAGCCCAATGCGCTGCAAGCAGCCCCACAGAGACCCTCTCTGCAAAGGGCTTTGCAGCACAAATGTTACCAAGTGTGGAAATCCATTCTTCTGCTCCTTACCCGCTTTGGAAGCAACTCCTCCTGTGCCAGAAAGCCTCGCTTGTGGACGTTGGGATCATAATCACCATACTGGAAAGAAGCAGAGACGTTGCGCCCACACTGTTAACAACACAGGCACACAGAACTCTTCACCCTTACACATCCACTCCTTGTGGACACAGCAAATACAGACCACCTACACCTTCAGCATCAGCTTGTTAGAGGTGAGAACACGTGCTCCTTGGTTAACATAATAAACAGAGTTCCATTGCAATGTGATTGCTCATAGAAACTAAGATCCCTGTTCTACTGCAGCAAACAGAGCAGGGTGCAGGACAAAACCTCCCACTGCCAGCTGGTGCCCACCATGCCCAGCAAACACTTCTTCCAGCACCAGCAAAGACCCCATCTGCCCGAATCCATGCCTTTCCACCAGCAGTGGGATGGGGATCCAACGTGTGGACAAAGACCTGTCCCCAAATAATGACTGATCCCAGTAAGCTGGCTGAGGCAGATTGCCTTTTCTCTGCTGCAGTTCACTATTAACAAATATTTCAATAACAATAATAATGATAACAGGAATTTGGATGACAATTGCAGGCTCCCCTCGGGCAGGCGTTGATTTTTCTGCCAGAGGGGCCGCTGTTCAATTGGGTCATGGAATCCAAATCAGATTTGTTAAGCACACCCAGTAATTACTGGTATTTGTTTAGATGCACATCCTTCCGAGCAGCATATAAAACGGCTGAGAAATAAAACTGCTTATTAACAGATTCAAAAGCTGAGCGTCCCTGCAGTGCGTGTGAAAATGAATTTATCTCCCATGCAGCATAAGAGGGGAGGAAACAGCCAGAAAGCAGCACCTCAAATAACCTCGCAGGTTGAAGCGGATGGGATGAAGGATGTGAGGCACGTACAGGAAATGCTGCGATTCTCATTCACCTGGCAAGCAGGACTTCTGCAGTGACATTAGGAGATTACACAAGGCACAGCAACGCTCCCTTCAGTCATGCGTTCTGCAAGGGAAGCAGCCCTTCCCTCCCAGCTTCTCTGTAGCTCCTCAGCTCAGAAAGCACAAAATGGTGACAATTTTTAAGGCAAGACCAAGGCACGTGGTGCTCATACGGGCAGGAAGCCTTCCATGGCAGCCTCCTTTCAATGCCAGGACCACCATGTCGTGCACCAAAACCAGAGCTCAAGATCACAAGCCTACACAGACACCCCCTCAGCAGCCCAGCAAGCAACGTTTCATCCACAACAAGCAGGGATTAAAGACACAGATATTGATTTAGAGCCAGTGCAGATGTGAAGGAAGCATGCAACAGCCAACACTGACTCAGACTTCAATTAATACAACGCAAACACTGGGGGTTCCATTCAGCAGGGTGCTGAGCAGTGGCAACTGTTTGTCTCCCAAGGTCTACAGGGCTTGGAGCTTCTCAGTGACAGCACATTGCAGGTATACATCTCTTGTACCCACGTCAGAAGGGAGCAGCAACAAGAACACGGAAGTAGCAAGGGAAACAACTCCAATAACCTTGGAGAGGCAGAAAACAAATCATTCCTAGGTGATGAAAATAACAGGATTAACACGAGTATTTCTTTTGCTGGGGTCTGCCATAGAGATCCAAAACTAAGCATGGGTTATGTGATTTTCACGTGGTGAAAAATGTTGCCGTGTCCCAGAGGAATATCTGTACGGAGGGGGAGTCTGGATGAGGACACTCATTATTCACAACTGAAAAACCAACAAATGGCTTAAATATTGCAGCGTAAGCTGGCTCAAATGATTCGGCAAACACGCTTTTAAAGACCTTTCCAATTAAATAATTGCTTCAAAACTGTCACAGAATTTTAACTCCTGTTAATTGTATGACACAATTAATATTCACGGTCACACGCAGAAGTTGCCTTCACATCATCCAGCCTGGCTTGTGCTGTCCTGTACAAACATGGGCACGCTCAGCTGCGACCCATTAGTGCTGATTATTGTTTGTTTGGGGAAAAAAACAAAAGCAGAGGGCCCTGTTGCTAATGCTGAAGTGCTTCAAGACCTGAAGTGCTGAGAGCAGCGGGGCAGCGATTTGCATTGGAGGGGCGAGGAATGGAAAAACCTCTTGGATGTTGCCATTGCTGCAGGGACACCTTATTTGATAGTTTCCAAGTCTTTCACTGCTATTTAAAACCTGAACCATCTCCAATATTTGAAAGCGGTGTGGGTGGTTTGAATGCAGAGCTAGAGGGGAAAACACAGAGTAATTCCCCAAACGAATGCAATGATACAGAAATAAACAAGCTTTTAATTTGATGACCCGCACGCTTACTTTGTTATTTCACGTGGGTGGTTCAACAGCAGCACAAACAAACCTAGCTGTCAATCAAGTGGCTTCATCAGCTGCAACCACACTGACTCCGTGTCAGGCCGTTATGCCCCTCATCATGCAAATCAGCAGGTTATTAGAGAAATTACTGTGCCCAGTGGCTGCTTTCTTGTCCAGAAAGGACATCATTATCCTATTTAACTGGAAGGAGGTGACCTGCAATATCTTTCTTCCCAGCTCCATACTGAGGGTTTGCTTTCCACTTCTACCTTTCCTGAAAAAGAGCAGGAGGGGAAGCTCTGCCTGGTTACCAAAGGGGCAGCAAGGAAAAGCCGTGTCTGAAGCAGACACGAAAGGTGCATTAGCTAAGATAAGGAAAGGCACTCCTCTGCCATCTCCTCACAGCCTCTGCAGGATCAAGATCTGCAAGATTAGGAGAACTGCTCCGATTCCAGTCGATCTCCAGACACACAGAGCATGTGCTGCTGAGGACAAGGTCAGGAGCCAAGCTGGGAGAGCAGACACAGGACAGTACAACAGCTCTGCACCAAAGTCCATGCCGCTCCTGAGCACGTGAGCAGCCATGGCCAAGAACAGCACCCAAGGGTTTTACCCAAGGGTTTATTCATTTTGGCAGTGGAAGTGGCATCCCCTCTGTACCCTCAGCTTGGCAGGTTACGTGAGAAAAACCCAAGCGAGTGTTCACACGTGTATGTGATCAGAGCAATGGCTGTTTCACACAAGCGTTGTTAAAAGCAACTCTTTTCCCCAGCTGATGAGTCCCTCTAACAAAACAGATTGTCATCAATATTCTGCCTATGAGGAGAACACACCTTTTTCTAGCAAATCCAAACATTTGTCATCAAACAACACCGTGCACATCACCCACTGCTGGATTCAGACAAATTGGGCACAGACTGAAGGGTTATGAGGAATGTTACCATGCAACCTGGAAAAAGCCATTGCTGAGGATGAGACTCCTTGAAACGAGTGCTTCCACCCTGCCTGCACCGAGCCCTCCTCAGGCAACAGAAAAAAATCCCACTCTTGCACTGTGACACAGATCTCACAGAGCACAGTTACCCTGCCTGTCCCCTGAGGCCCCTTAGGGACAGCAGTGGGGCACAGGCACTTGGCCTATGGTTCTGCAAGTCAAAACCCTATCCTGAAGAGCATCCAGAAAATGACTGAGTACAGACACAAAGATGTGGTAGTTGAGCTGTGAGAGGACTCCAGCAACTGCTCTTCTTTTCCAATGGCATTATCTTTACATGGGAGCTGGAGATTAGCTAGAAAACTCAATTCAGCAGTGGTACATGTTGTGTCACAGGGATAAATGACCCATCTCAAGGGTTCACAAGGGGGAGGTCGTCCTTGACCAACCTGGTAGCCTTCTATGATGTTGTCTCTGGCTGGGTGGATAGGGGGAAAGCAGTGGATGTAGTCTACCTTGATTTCAGCAAGGCATTTGATACCGTCCCCCACGACATCCTTATAACAAAGCTGAGGAAATGTGGGATAGATGAGTGGACAGTGAGGTGGGTTGAGAACTGGCTGACTGGCAGAGCACAGAGGGTCGTTGTTGGTGGTGCAGAGTCCGGTTGGAGACCTGTAAGCAGTGGTGTTCCTCAGGAGTCTGTACTGGGTCCGGTCTTGTTCAACATCTTCATCAATGACCTTGATGAGGGGATAATGGCCACCCTCAGCAAGTTTGCTGATGATACGAAGTTGGGAGGATTGGCTGACACGCCTGAAGGCTGTGTTGCCATTCAGCAAGACCTGGATAGGCTGGAGAGCTGGGCAGAAAAAAACCGGATGAGGTTTAACAAAAGCAAGTGTAGAGTCTTGCATCTGGGGAGGAATAATTCCATGCACCACTACAGGTTGGGGGATGACCTGCTGGAGGGGAGCTCTGCGGAGAGGGACCTGGGTGTCCTGGTGGACGACAGGTTGGCCATGAGCCAGCAGTGTGCCCTTGTGGCCAAAAAGGCCAATGGCTTACTAGGGTGCATTAAAAAGAGCGTGTCCAGCAGGTCAAAGGAGGTGATCCTCCCCCTCTACTCTGCCCTGGTAAGACCTCATCTGGAGTACTGTGTCCAGTTCTGGGCTCCCCAGTACAAAAAAGACAAGGATCTCTTGGAAAGAGTCCAGCGGAGGGCCACGAAGATGGTGAAGGGCCTGGAGCATCTCTCCTACGAGGAAAGGCTGAGTGAACTGGGTCTGTTCAGCCTTGAGAAAAGGAGACTGAGAGGGGACCTGATCCAGGTCTATAAATATCTAAGGTGTGGGGGGCAGAATGGCGAGGCCAGACTGTTTTCAGTGGTGAGTGGAGACAGGACAAGGGGAAATGGCTGGAAACTGCAGCATAGGAAGTTCCGCACAAATGTGCGCAAGAACTTCTTTACAGTGAGGTGACGGAGCACTGGAACAGGCTGCCCAGGGAGGTGGTGGAGTCTCCTTCTCTGCAGATGTTCAAGACCTGCCTGGATGCCGACCTGTGCGACCTGCTGTAGGGAACCTGCTTTGGCAGGGGGTTGGACTCAATGATCTCTGGAGGTCCCTTCCAACCCCTACAATTCTGTGATTCTGTGATTCTGTGATCTCTAGCAAGATGTCCCCACCTCTGAACCTACGGCTGCTCCCTGTATCACAAGAGTCCCCCTGCTGCTGGCTGCTTCCTCTGCTATCCAAGGCTGTTCCAGGCTGCACAACAGTGCTCTTTAGAGTCAGTTCTTGGCAAAAACCACTGACTTCGGGTGTAGAGCAGAATTCAGCTGAGGACTGAGGGGAACTTGATGACAATTGAGTTCTTCCCTCTGTGTAGTGAGGCCAAAGAGCCACGATCAAAGCTTCAGCAAAGGAACAAGTCAGAAAGATCTCTAACACTGCAGTAACATTGATGAGGCAAGCTGTAGCACTCAAAACAAGGCAGTTATCAGGACAAGTATTCCAGGGAAGCAGTGAAGCTGCCAGTCTCACAGCTGGTTTGCTACTGGCTACAACAGCAAGAATAGGGAGGAGATCCAAAAAAGCACAGGCTGCAGGAATTCAAGTGCTCCAGTAGTAACCCATACTCAAGTAGGCATTGCTAACTCACAGGCTGAGAGCTTGCTAAAGGCTTCTGGAAAAAGAAAATAAAAATGCATCCAATGTCCAAAGGCAGCCAGAAATTGGCAGCATGGAGAAGACAATGTTGCTATTGTAGTCCCATCACTTTTGAATTTTTAACAACTTTCCTTGCCTCAGGAAGTGGGTATGTAACAAAGCACCCAGCTTCCCAGGAGCAACACTAAGCCAACACCACTTTGCCCTCAGAAAATCCCGCTGTGCCTACCTTGGCTTGGACTGCGTAAGAGGCCAGCAGGACAGAAGCCTCAGGAGGACAGTAGATCTTCTCATCCAAAATCTGCTTCTTCACCTGCACACAGCAATAAAGGACACATAACACATGTTCAGTGAAGCAGTGCAAAGCATGACTGTCACAGCAGATGGCTGCAGTTTGTTTTAACTAGGGCTGTCAACCACACAGTTAACAACATTGCTAACACTAGCTCCTGCTCAGGCCCAGGAAATCTCTGATGTCTGTACAGGGAAGGGCTCAGGCTTTCACAAGCCACCTTTTGCAGACAGGTTTGCAAGAAACTAAATTTATAATGGGAAAGTGACAGAACCTGTATCTCACTGTGAAGGGCAAGTGGGGAAAAAAAGCCTTGCATGTGGAGATAAAACCTCCTAAGGCATAAGCTGTAGATTGACAGGACTACATGCAACACTAAATGAAAAAAAGGAGTTGCAGCTGAGGCTCTGAGCACACAAAGGGCTTTGCTGTGGGGCATTCAGACCTTTCTGTGAGTAGGTGCTCACCTGTGCTTGGGGCTAATTCCCTCCAATCCCCACCAACAGCAAGCAGACTGCAGGTCACCTCTGTGGCAGTGCTTTTAACAGCAGGCAGCTCCTGCGCACGCTCCCAGGAGAGCCAGCATACAGTTCCCAAAAGCTACTGCTTGATGTTTCCTGGCTTCTGTGCATTAAAAAATTAAACCTGTCACGTTTGATATTTTATGTTCTTGGCCACTTAATTTTTCTGAAGAACAAAAAAAAAAAAGTACTATTTTCCTAAAATGGATTGTCACAGAGATACAGTAATGTGTATTTGAATGTACAGCACGTTTTGCACCCTCAAAGTCAGTTACAACATAATCACAGAAGAGATTCTCCTGCATTAAGGTGAATGGGGGAGCTTGCAAGCTTATGTGTGTTCCTGTTTCTTACACACAGTACTGGAGCATTGGCTCCTCTCATATCATTAAAATCCTAGCGGAAAAGTCACGGTCTGCATTTATAAAATGCAGCTTTAACTGCTTTTCCTCTGTGATTCTGTTTTTCAAAGCTGCCAAAAAGCATTTTTCCTTATCAGGCCTAAAAGCCATGGCAAATTGGACATTTAGAAACTGCCCTAAGGAGACACGAGAGCACAAGACAGACTTTGGAAATGAACAGCAATATTTTGCATTTCAACCTTTAGCTCTGAAGAACAAAGACAAACTTTGGAACTGGGAGGAGTATCAATGAGCTAGTGAGCTCACTTTTATATCTGTTGTAAAGGGCAGAGTACACTGAAATCTAAAGCAAGGCAGCTGAATCCAGATTGCTCCTATTTTGGTGCAACTTCAACAGCCAAGGAGCAGCTACAACATCCTAATGAATGCCCAGAGAGATCAGCCCAGGATTATTCTACAGCCTGTAACACTCCTGCCTCCTGTTTCTTTTTATAGTAAATAGTTTCTGAAAATTGATCTTGTCTGAAAGAGAAAGCTGCTGTGACAGAAACGCTTCATTACCAGTCAGACAGCACAGCTACAACATCAGCTGAACTGATTTCTCAAGAGGTGATGTTTGGTAGAGTCCTTTAAATAAGAAGTTACTGTGCAGGCAGGACAGCTAGGTTTCCCCTTCTCCTCTGCTTCTGCCATCAGTTTATGACAGAGTTGTGCTTCTGGGATTTTTTCTGCTCCAGTTACCTGAAGGCTGATTTGTGAGGAGGTTGAACCTTGCTGTACAGCCTGTACATGAAACAGGTTGGCTGCATTCTGTGCTCCGGGATGAAATCCCCTTGCTTCCCACAAGAACACTATCACTTATGAAGGCAATTGTCATCTCTCAGCACAATTGATATCTACATCCTGCAGAGAGGCAGACTCCAAGGCTGCGAGTGTCATTCATGCCCACATCTGACAGATTCATTTACCTTAACTACCACACACTAATGTTACAAATCATCTAATCATTTCTGATGGCCAGTTTGCAAGCCTGGGCACCTGGGACTGTTTCATCCATCTCTCACCTATTTTAGGACACTTCTGCAGTTCAAGACAACTGCATTCAGAGGGGTGTGAATGTAATGACAAAGGGCCACGCTTTGCAGACCAAATTCCTCAGTCCCCAAAACCTTCTTGTACTTCTGCTCATCCTTGCTCCTTCCTCCTTCATGCTGGAAAACACTGTACTTACTTACAAGGCTCCTACCTGCAGGAAGAACAAGTGCTGTGTGATCTCCTGGACCAGCTCCTCCTCTGCGTTCTCAGGATAAAATTTGGCTAGGAAGTGAAAGGTGACAGGTTCCTCTGTTGGCACATCATGATCCAGAACCTGGGGAATAGAAAAGCCATTCAATTACACCCCCTAGCTTTGTCAGTGTCCTGTTTCTAGGAGCCACACTGTCACCTTCTGTTAATATCAGCACAGCTTTTGTCAAGCATCTTAGGCGTGCAGAAGGGATAAAACAACCTAAGTAGTTCAGAAGAGCATAGAAAACAAACATTTCTGACAATCAGAACCGTGCAAGAAAACAAACAGCATGCAAGATGAGACAGCAAAGGTTGATCTTGATCTGCTGTGTGCGTAATGCTGCTTCCCAACCTCTCACAATGATGTTAGATGCTGCTATGCCACCACCAACCTTTATGGCTCTTTCCCTGCAGCGCCTCTCCCTCTATTTCAGACTTGCTCTCTGACACCTTGCTATTATGCTGGCGCTGTCTGGTTCAGATTCATGTTAGCTTAAAACTTAGGCATGACACCGAGAGACGCCTCCTTTAGTCACAATTACTGCCTGGTTTTAGTGCAGCATCGTTTGGGTGCAAACAGAGCCACATCCATCACTTCTCTAACCAACTGCTCAGCAACCCAGAGGCTCACATATCTGGGAAGCATCCCATCCCTTATCCCCACTTCCTTTTCACTCCTCAGTTTTGCAGTTTTGCCTCCTCCTTTGCCTTTGCACACTTCAACAGCAAAAGAAGCCAAGGTGCAACCATTCACGTTCCTGCTACAGGGCTTGTCATTCAGGGGTGTAGAAGAGAGACAGCCATCACTAGACTCTGTTTACACTACAGACCTCCTGCAGTCCAGCACCTCAGGGTTGGAAGATGATCTTTAAGGTCCCTTCCAATCTAAGCTACTCTTTGATTCTATACATCCTCCTCTGTCACCCTTTAGGAACTCTCAGAAGAGCCTTGCTTCCAACCTTCTTGTCCATTTTAAGCCAAGCCACCGTGTCCTTGATAGTGTACTGCAGGCCAAAGAACCATGTTTCTCGGAGTCCCAGTGTTCTGCATACCAGGTCAAACAAGTCCTTGCCTTTCCACTTCACCTGCAGGAGAAGGAAAGGGAAGCCAAGTTATAAAGATGGACTTGAGGATTTTGTTTCCGTTCAACCAAATCCATTCTTTTTTCCACCTCACAATGTGTTCCTCATAGGGAAACTGGAACGCCAGGCCCACCCAAATGACACTGCGAAGTTCCACTGTTCCTTCCTTTAGCAATCCACCAGAAGTCAGAGGATCTGAGGAGTCCTTTTGAATCAAGCTCCTCTATGAGAAGCCCATTTTCAGCATGGAAAGAAAGAGGGAAAAATGTCTACGTATCACTCTTAATTGCCCTTTGGTAGCTTTAATGCAGCTACGGCCCCAGGAATCCCTGCCCAACCTCCAGTATCAGCAGCTCGGGCAGACACAACACAACACAGGGCACAACACAGCCGAGAACCAGAAGGGAAACAACCGATGCATCCACTGCGTGCATCCACAGCAACAGGCTCTGCACAGGATAACGGGGAGGAGGGCCCAGGACTATCATTGAAATCAGCAGTTCTCTCTGAGCGTGTCAGGCTGTGCCTTACACTGAAGACGTGACAAAAGCAGCAAGGGAGCAGAGGAAATGGTGGTGCCCAAAGAGCGCGGCCTTCCAACAGTCTTGTCATCGCAACCACGCCTCTGCTGAACTTTGTTCATAAAACCAGAAGGCGCTGGGAGGCAGAAAGGTGAAGAAAGACATAAAACAGATGAATCTAATGTGCCAGAGCCACTCTGGTCTTCCATCTGCGCGGCGGAAACTGAGACATACGGCCATTACTCCAAAGCCCCAGGGCAAAGGGATCTCAGCGCATTCTCTTGTCGCTACAACTCAATCTCGGTGCCACCTGGCCAGCATCGATAGGAACGCAGGGCCCCGGCGCACGCTGCTGCCGCGGGGCCGATCCCCGCTCCCGCTGTCCCCCACTGCCGCCTTGTGGGCAAAGCGGCTGAGGACAGGCCGATTCCTGCTCCGATTCAACGAGCACGTGGCTGGTTCCGCCCCTCGCAGGGCACACACGAGCGCACCGACGTCCCAGAATAGAAGAAAGCCACTGCCCCCCTCCAAAAAGCAGCACCCCAGGGCGGCTCGCCACGGCCTCTCTGCAGTTCCTATCAGGCGCAATCAACACCTCGAGGTCAGCAGCACCAGGAGGAGCGAGTTCTGCAGCGCTGCAATTACAAAACGCGAATTTCACACATCAAACCAGCCTCCGGTCCCTACAACGAGCTCCAGCTTGGCACAGGATGCTTCAGATTGCACGTCTCCTCCCCACTATTATTTTAAGAAGGAGGTTAATTTGAGGTTTCAGACAGCACAGAGCGGGATGCATTTGAACAGCCACTCCATACATTGCTGTAGGCACGTGGAAGCGCCGCCATCAGAGGGCAATTTCCTAACTGGAATTAAAGTGCTCTGCATAATGCATTGCCATTTGGGCTTTGTTATTATTTGCAAACCCCCCCCCCCCTTTTCACAAAGGCCATCTTTCAGCCTATTGCTTCCCAGCACTGCACCCCTTTCTGCCCCCCCCGGATCTCCATGGGCTGCTGCTGCTCACCCCAGCCACCCACCTTACAGCCGGCGCTTTGCACACCCCTCCTGCAATTCCCACCTTGCGAAGCAATTGTTTCTGCCATCACATTTGACACTGCTGCTGTTGCTGCACGCGCACGGTAGGGCAGAGACACGCATTTAACACTGCTGCCCGCTGAATTACCTTCATTAAATATAGAAATGGAACAGCGGCCGCGTTTATTTCAACGTACACGATTGCCTTCCACACCTCGGTACTTAAAATAATGATCTGCATTCAAGTGGCATCTTTGGACAGCTGAACTCCAACTGTTTTACAGACATGGAAGACCTTAGCTCTGTACCCATATTTGATAGGCCTCGTATCATTAACTGCCACATTTCCTGGCCATAAAACACAATAAAGGCCCCCAGGGACAGCGGGGATAAAGAGCTGATGCCAGGGGCTGAGCAGACAAGCCAGCCGTGAGCCTGCAGCCTGGCAGCTCCACATTCCACCCTCTGCTCATCACACCGCTCCCCTGCTCCCTACACCTGAAGCACAAGGACAATTTTGCATGTCGTCAGAAGGTCCTGAAAACAAAACAGAGAGGCTTAGAGCAGAGCAGTGCCCTCAGCCGTGCGCTCAAGCAGCTGGCACCATGCTGTAACAGAGCTCAGCCTCCAACCAGAAGCTCCATCACAACAACCCTAATCCTGCGCAGCCAGGCGGCCCTGCACGACCCGCAGAGGGGAGCAGGATGTGGCTGCAGATGTCACTTCTCACTCTCGTGGCTCTGCAGCCTCCTACCTGCTTGATTTCAGCACAACCTGCTAGAGACATTCCACAAGTCTCGAAGGAACGCAGGGACAAACTGCTTTAGGAATGCAGCGAGTGCTGCGAGGCTGTGATTCTGCAGAGCTGCAATTTATGCTCTTTACTAAGCACAGAGTGCTCACGATTTATCAGCACAGTGTTTTAAGCAAACAGCACTAAGCACTTACAACCCAGCAGCTAGAAAGGAGCTTCCACTTCCACCGTGCCTTATTGGCATCATCTTTTTCTCCAGCAGAGCCCTCGCATTTGGCAGCTATTAACGGGGTTTGCATTATTTATTAAACTGCAACAAGAGTAATTTCCAACAGACGGGCAACTGGGCGATTTATTTCAATGCGGAGCCTTGCCAGCAATTCTCAGCACTGCTCCATAGCTCCCCAGCCTGTCCCCCGGTGGCACAAACACGAGGCAGGTTTAGCTGATCCCCCTGGCAAGGGCTGACAATGGGGAAGCCAAGAGCTAGAAGAAAACACACAGCAAGGCACAGGAGGTGCCTTGCAGAAGAGTGCTGAGGGTGCTAAGGAGAAAAGCGGTTCCCAAACTCTGCTGATGCTTCACTTCCAGTGATGCCCTGCTGAATTTACACGGGAAAGGGAAAGAAGAATGGTTTTAAACCCCTTAGGATTTCATGAGAGGAAGGAGAGGAACAAATACAGGCCCGATCTTCTTGGGGCAGAACCCAGCTCAAGGCAGCTCACCTCCCTTCCATCACAAAAACAGACCAGGCCTTCGTACGACAAACACAGAAGGGTGGCTTTTCAGCTCAACAGGTCAATTTTATTCAACATCAGTACTGGTTCTGTGCTAGACATGAGACAGGAGCCCAGGGTCCCTGTTGTGATGCTGATGGCAGGCAGGGCAAGCAGAGGAGGGGGCCAAGCCCTGGGAAGCAGCACGATGGTTTCACAGCAAGATATTTCCACTCAGGAGCCCTGTGGGAGAAGCAGCTTTTAGCAGAGCCAACACCTCTGCCCTGAAACACGGGGGGAGATCACAGAACGGAGCCCCTCTGGGCACCTGAGCGCACAGCAGCTGCCCCTCATCCACCAGATGACCAAGCAGAACCCACAGCAGCAGACAGCCCAACGCAGGGCAACTTTGAGGCTGTTTGGACCCTGCACGCTCACAGGAGCGCCCCAGACAGCCCTTCATTTGGATTTAACGTCCTTCTGGAGCGAGCAGGGAATCAAATATTCAATATTCCTCCATTCCTTTAAATAAACAGATGTCAAATACTTTCAATTGCCACTTACTGAGCCACGAGACAGGGCCGTAAAAGTTATTTTTATTTACTAATGCTACACGACAACTCAATAATGAGCTTTTAATTAAAATCTATTCCTGCTAACCACCGAGGAGGCCAAAAACCCACCCAGGCATAACAAGGCAGATGGCGCAGCCAAGCACAGTGCCTGCTGTCTGCCTGAGACAGAGACAGGGCTGGGTGCAGGGGAAGAAAGGGCAGCTGCGGCTCTTCCAGCTGGCAAGGGAGGGGAAAACAAGCAACAGAACCCAGCTCAGCCAAAGGCTGGATGAGGGAGGACTGGTGGAGCTCCTGAACCGAAGGAATTGGATAACATGGGGCTCAAGAAGAGGCTGAGGAGAGCTTGGAGCAGGAGAGCAGAGAGCATTTCAGATTCGGGGTGCAATCAGAATGAAGTCAAGGAGGATCTGTGCTCATGTATCTCGTGTGACCTGCACACAGGTTGAGAAAGAGAATGCAGAAATGAACAGAACCGAGCAAGACAGCCCTGAGAAATCCCCAAGTGATGTGGCTGTAAATTAGCAGTACTGCTGCTTTTGCCATAAAGCCTCCAGAGATGCAAATCAAATGGGAAAGCAGCTTCTGCCTGCCACTTCTCTTATTAAAGCAGGGATCGGGAGCCACCGAGCAGCAAAAGCGTGTGAGCACTCAGAGAACGGACACAGGCCAAGGGCAGATGGGTGCACAAAGGAACCAGAACATCGACTTGACAATTTACTGAAGATCATTTTGCAGCTGAAAGGGATTATTTCTCTCAGCTTTTTAGGAGAGCTGTTCCTGTCCCCAGATCCATCTCCGCCTGCTTGCAGCAGCTTAGCAGCATCGAGAGGTCAGTGCCATTACCAGCAGCACCAAGGAGCTGGTGAACATTTACCAAAGGATGAACAAACCCACATAAAACCTCTCCCAACCATTTTGCAAAGCAGGCAGAAACTTCATCCCCTGCTTCTTCCTCCTGCCCTTTTCATTCGGGCGCAGTGAGCTGAACTCCCTGCTCTGACACACAAACTCTTCCTCAACAACTTATTTGGCCACAGATTTTCCACACCAGACCTCAGCCTGCCCCTGCTCCCAGGGATAAGCTTTTGCAGCACAGCTATGTAACCCCCTGCAAACGTTAACAGGGAGACCAACACTTGGCTGCACGCTGCTAAAAGAGACTTTTTGTACTTACATGCACATAGGAAAGTTTTACAACCAACCACAGCAAGTTGGGTACCGAGGCCTAATGCCCTGCACAGACACCTTCCAGCTGAGGCTGTTTTCTGAACAGAGAGGAACAGCTTAAGCATTCAGGCAGTGACACAGCACAAGTTTAGACCAAATGTTCAAGTGTCTCTTCTTACTGCTTCAATGCTTGTGCTTTCTCCAGGTTGGCTGTTAAGCTTTCCCACTCATTTCTGGCTGAAAGAGCTGCTGCTGTCCAAGGATTAAGTAGAGAGGCAGCTGCTGCTTGGTCGCATAATGACTCCTACAGGGGCTCCAAGACCACAGGCACTGTGGATAAAGAGGAAACACCCTTCTGAGAAGCTGCTGAGACTCCAGAGCTGGAGAGCCAGTCACCACGCTGCCACACCACAGGAACAAAGCAAATCAAGGACTGGTGGATCCTTCTATCAGCTTGGCATTAGTGACCAACCCAACACCAGCACTGCAATCCTGCTGCGGGAACAGAAGGAAAAGAGCCCCACAGGAACCCAACAGTACCGTGGGGTAAAGACATTGTGCAAGAGAAGTGAACAACCCGACTATCTCACAAAGAGCCACCACCAGGATTGCCTCACTCCTGCCGTATCACTAGTCTAATTTGGGGCAGGGACGGCAGCAAGTCGCCCCACGAGGGGGGCAGTCAGAGGAAGCCATTGGCCACTCAGTGTCCTGGCATCACAACCTGGGAGGCAGCGAACCAAGCACCACCAGCACCCCCAGCTGTCACTCAGGCAGTGCCTGGCACACGGTGGTGTTAATTGACCCCGTGTGTTTTCCAGTAGGATTTCTCTCCCGCTGCTCTCCAGGTGCAGGTGGTGGTGCTCAGGAAGATGGGGCAGCCAGCAAGCGGCTTAGCACAGGGATTTCAATAGTTATGCAAATGTCTGTCCTTGCTCAAGATGCTATCAATTAATTAGGAACAGTGCTCACACAGCTCTAATGGAAGTAACACAAAAAGGGAGACGTTGACATTGTGCCTTTAAGATTTCCCTGAACAAATTACAAGTCTTTGAAGTGAGGCCCCAACTGCGATCATTAAGCTTCATCACAGCGTTAGAAAGATTAAGATTTCATTTCTAGGAATTATTTCAGATTTAGACTCAATTTAGAGACATTATTCACGGAGTCAACAGACGCAGAGCAGGTTTAATCTCCTGCAATACCCAGCCAGGAATTCCTGCAGGGCAGACTGAAAAATGAGTAAGGAAAAGGTGCCACAGCCACATCAGCTTGCTCAGAATAAGAGAGGCTGCCACGACCAGAGGTGGCAGCAGAACGGGGTGGCACACAGCCTCACATGCACTCCTCCTGTGCCAGATGGGAATTGACGGCCCGAGCGCCTGGTGCCACAGCCAGCCAGCTGTTACCAGACCTCACACCACGCTGACAACACCTCACCACCCCCCGGCACCTCTGTCCTGTGCAGTCACTCAGGAAAACACACAACGTGCCTCAAGAGCTCTGCAACAAAGTTGAAAAGGAGCCAGAGAGATTAATCCTGCATAGCAAGGCTGCTCCAGCAGAGCTCGGTCACTCACTCAGATGTGTTCACTGGCACTGCAATCAGCACTGGTCAAAGAAGCCAGCAGTTAAGCAGGGCTCAGACCAGCAGGGCCCCAGACCACGAGCAGCACCAGCCTCCCCACAGCAGCTCCCTAACTGCTCACCCTGCATGCATCCAGGAAGGAAAAGGGGCACAAGCACTCAGCGTGAGGCTGAAGAAGTGTACAGGAGGCACAGAGATGTGAGGCAGCTGTTTGCAGTGGGGCAGGCAATGGTCTCTGTGGATGCGTTTTGGGGGTCCTTCCCTGCAGCTGTCACTACACAGAGGAGGCAGCAACACAGCCAGGGAGCTCAAACAGCCACAGCTGAGCCATGCAATGTGCCCCCCTGAGGCTCCAGCAGTGGCACCCAAGTGGGCATGGGGAGGCCTGCGGGGGGTACGGAGGGTCTGGGGGAGGACTAGGGGGGCCATGCAATGCAGCCACCCAACCTGATCCTTTCTTCCCCACTGCTGGGAGGTCTCACACTGGAGGTCAGAGCCTGAGCTCCTGCACGTGTCCTCTGTGCTCCAGTGAGAGGTCAGAGGTGCAGGAGCACAACGCTCACAAGCATCTCTCTGAGCTCCCCCAAAGGCTGGGCAGCCTCTGCTGCAAAGTCTTTGGCTGGAGCCTCCCCAGCAGGCAGCTGAAGGTGCACAAGTTACGTGTTCCAACCCAACTGGGAGCGCCGTGCTGCCTCTTCATAAACGCCCTGATCCCAACATGAAACAACAAGTGGCCACGGCGTGAAAAGAGTTACTGACTTCTCATCACCTCATTGTTGGCAGCCTAGGAAAGTGTCAGAGCAGGACTGGGACACTTCAACCCTCCCGACAGGGTAACGCTGAGGAGCTGGAAGTGACAATAACTCTTTAATCCCTGGGAAAGGCACGGTGTGCCCCAGAGCTGACAGTGCATTTCAGCAGTGAGAAACGTCACAAGGACAAACACCCTTCGGCTCACAGGCACGGAACTGCATCAAGATTCGGACGGAGTGAGTTTTCCTTTTTCATAGCTCATGCTTTAAAGCGGGTTTTCAGTCTCTCCGTGCCCCATCCCTCCAGAGCATTTCGTGATCTGAAAACCCAGCAACAAAAGGAAGCCCCTGGGGCCAGCAGCCACGGCAAGGCTGCCCGACAGGCACCGCGGGCCCAAGCGAAGGCAAACCTGACCTAAGAGACGCGCACGGCAGGACACCTCAGCGACGAGTCGGGGCGGTACGCCGAGGGAATTCCCGCAGCCCCGTGCCGAGCCCCGCGGCTTTAAGCCCGAGATAACCCGTCTGGCCTCAGGCTGAGCCCCACGGCCCCCGGCCAGGCCCAGGCCGGGCCCGGCAGCCCTCAGACCCCGCGGCAGGGCCGGGCCCGGGGCGCTCGGGACACCCAGAGCGGGGGAGCGAGGCCCGAGGCCCCGTCTCCATGGCAACAGGGCTTAGGCCGCGGCCGTCACCTCGCAGCTGAACTCCATCTCGGCGTCCATGGTGACGATGCGCACCGTGAAGGTCTTGGGCTGCTTCCTTTTGAGCGAGCTGAAGCTCATGCGGGACGCGATGGCCCCGGCCATGGTGCGGGAGGAGCTCAGCGCCGAGGGCCGCGCCGCGGGGGCAGCGCCATGGCGGCGGCGGCAGCGGCGGCGGCTCCGGGCCGCGCCGAGCCCAGCCTCAGAACGCCGTCTCCCTATTGGTTCCGAGCTCGGGTCGTCCCGCCCTCCGCCCCGAGGGTCGCGCAGAACCGAAGCCAATCAGAAGCGGGGTGACGGGGAGAGGGGGCGAAAGGGACGTGAGGATTGGGCGAAAAGGCCGCTCGTCAAGGGGAAGGAGCGAGGGTAGACAACAGGGCTTCCTGCACACACGTTGCGGCGCGCATGTGGCGCCCTCTTGCGGCCGGAGGAGCGTGCATCACCCTGCCGTCGTGAATGAGCTGAGCGCCGTCCCCGTCCTGCTGCTGCCGGTGGCACTGCGGGGCCGTGGGGTGGGGGGCGCTGCCCGGTCCTGGCCCCGATGCAGGGGGGTCTCAGAGCCTCCACCTCGTGGGGATGCACTGTGGGGAAAGCAGGAGTGGGACGGCGTTGGGATAATGGGAATGGGACCAGTACTGAGATAACAGCAGCAGGACAGGGTAATAGGAATGGGACAAGGACTGAGACAACGGTACAGGACTGAGACTGGAATAGTGGGATAGGACTGAGACCAGCATGGGGATAATGGGGCAGGATCAGAACCAGCACTGGGATAGTGGGATGGGCACTGAGACCAGCACTGGGGTCGTGGGACAGGAATAGGGGCCATCACTGGGGTAATGGAATTGGAGAGGGTCACAGGGATTAGCATAGGAATAATGGGACGGGACCAGAACCACAGCTAGGATGGCAGGGTGGGAATGGGGATGCAAATCAGTACTGGGATAATGAAGGTAGGGTTGGAACCAGGACTGCCATGGGGATAACGGTTACATGGGACAGTAACAACATAACAGGAGAGGGCTGGAACCCGTATCAGGAAAATGGGATGAGGACTGAGACTGGCATAGGAATTACGGGATTGGAATAAAAGGTTTGGGCCCCTCTCCCAGGCCCCATCTCAGCACCACAGTGCCCCCGCACACCACAGAATGGGGCCTCTGTGCTGTGGGGTGGGTGAGGGCTGAATGGGACCATTCACAGTGCCACCCCCCCCTCCTTCCAACCACCCCCACAGGGACCCTATGGCTGACAGCAACGCTGCAACCCCCTGGGGCCCCGGCAACGGCACCCAAGTGGGCATGGGGGGCTGGGG